CTTGAAATTGACCTAAGTATTTCAATAGAACAGTATATTGGAGTTTTTTGCTAATTTTTTTTGGTTTTTCTGGAAATTTAGATCTAAATGAATGTTTCTACTACAGGAGTTCAGATTTGAACTTCTTTTGATTTTTGAAATTCAAATTTGAGATTCAGCTTTTAAGAAGAGGATTTTGAGGGGGAATTATAGGCTGGAAAGGGTTGGGAATTTTCAGAGGTGTAAACTTTTTGGGGATTTTTCAGATTGTTCAAAAAACTAAAACCTGTAAAACAAGGCAAGGGGTATGCCTTTTTATAGGCAAAACTAGGGCAGCATCAGATTTTTGTTTTACATCTTCAGTCCCTCTTTTATTTTCAGATTTTAACTACTTAAACCCCTCATTTTATGCCTTGTTGGCCAAGTAACACTACTAACTTTCTGAATTTCAAATTAAAACCCCATCTAGAAGGTTCTAGTGATTTCCAATTTCAGTTACTTGCAGGATTCCTTTTATTGAATTACCTATACTACCCTTAATTCAACTCTGAATTACTAACCTAGGTTAACTAACCCTAGCCCTTTTTAACTTGGTCAAAAATGACCATGGTTAATTACCAAAGGGCTGGAATTATTCAGCTATAATCAAACAGGATTCAATTAACACAAAACCCCCAAAAAATTTAACTAACAGTCCAACTAACCTATCTTAAGAACTTTGAATTAATTTTGATTAACTAACATTGCAGGCTGTTACTAAGAATTAAACGGAAAACTAAGAATAACAAAATTAATAAAAATACAAAATCATGCTATGAATACAAGAATCAAAACATGAATCATGAATCAAAACTCAAAATTAATACGAACAGAGAAGAGATAAAAAAAAAAAATCTAAAACACTGATTGATGCAAAAGTCAAGGCACAGATTTGATTAATCATGAAGAACTAAGCATGAAAGGGGAGGTCCATTTCAATTAAAAGAAAATTCATTAGGCGGAGAAAAGAAACAGGATATATATATAGAAAAAAAACAAATAAAGAAAAGGAAACAGGAAATAAAGAAAATACTACGAACTTACTGATTCAGACCCCCTAATACTGATGACTTTCGAATCTGATCCCCAAATAATGTTATCTGCCTATTTTTGCCAAAAATAAACAAATAACATTACTTGAGGGTCAGTTGAACACTAAAAATCCGAGCAAGGCTGAAATTTCTATTGGACCTTCAAACCTGAACCCTAGATCTAAGATTCGAGTGGTTTAAACGGGACTTGAGGGAATCTGGTTTGAAATTTGGGAAGAGGGGGTCAAGGTGGGTCTAGGGTGTGATTTTGGTAAGGTTTGGAGTAGTGGCGCCGCCGGACACGGCGGAGGTGTCCGTGGCGGCGCTAGGGTTTGGGGTTTTTGGGGAATTCCAGCACGATTTGAACGAAATTGAGGGTAGTATGGGCATGGGGAAGGTGAGAGGGGTCTCTGGTGAAATTTTGGGAGTGATTGGCCAATCGCCGCCGGCGGAGGCGATTTCCGGCCGGCGGCAGACGGTGGCATGCGGCAGAACTAGGGTTTCCGGTGAGGGGTTTGAGAGATGAGAGGGTAGGGGGGTCCTGAGGGGGGTAGGATCATCTGGACATATATATACTCATACACCCCAGCTTCTCGGCCGTTCGATCAAGCAAACCTCGACGGCTGAGATTCGTTGCAAGCAAAACGGGGTCGTTTAGGTTGTGGGGGTGCTGGACCGGACATGGGTAATTTTGGGCTGGATCATTTGGTGAGATTGGGCTGGGACTGGGTTTCCCAATGGGCTAGTCACATTAATTTGAATAGCAGCCTGTTTTCTCTTTTTATTGTTTTCGTTTTCAATTAATTCCTTTTTCTCTCTTTTTTTTTAATTTTTTGTTTAATCAAAAATAAAAACCTGATTTAATTCTTCAACTAAACTAATTAATTTCCAAGAATTAATCCCTAATTTTGAACAAACGAAAACCAATTTGAAAAGTAAGAAAAAAGCAAAAAGAACTATTTTTATTATTTTCTTCTTATTTTTTCAATGTTAATTAACTAGTAGACCTAAAAATATAGAATTGAGTCCTAAATGCAAATGTGTTATTTTTTGTATTTTTTATGAATTATGCCAACTAAAAATGCACACAAAATGCAAACAAACACAAAAATCATGCAATTAATTCCCTAAAATTCAAATAATAAAAGAAAAGTCCTAATTTTAAGAATTCTATAGGAGTAATTTAAGCGCGGCAAAAATCACGTGCTCACAGCTGCCCCTCTTTGCTCGAAGACATGAAGGGTTTTTGGGCAAAGATAAATGAGCACCATGAAGGATTTTGCCTGCTCGGCACTCCATGAGAAGCATTTTGAAAACCGTCTGACCGAACCCTGCTTCAAAGGTTGCCTACATATCCTTGGCTATAAAGGAATCAGGTCAGTGTAGTTCTGGAAGGTTTGGTAGCTGGGACTACCAGGAGCTGTGATTTCAGTGCTGTTGCTGCTGCTACTGCTTGCGGACCTCCTTATTACACCAAAAGGAAAATCAAAGCTGAGCTAGCTATGCCTATCAACTATGAGTTACAAGATTCCTATCTATGATTCTCTTGAAACTTGATCTTGAGTCTTAGCTGAT